GGGGGGGTTGCGACACAAAAGGGGAAGATGGGATCACAATTATTTTTTTACAACAGGCGACACCGTTATTGAAAGAAACTCTTAGCTATGATTAGAAATCTTCAGATAAAACTTAGAGCAAATTGAAAGTTTGTTTTGTAACAACCTAAGAACTTAGGTGTCGAGATGCAAAATCGAAGGCCATGTAGCTAAATGCAAATAAAGAGCTCATGTCAAATGTTTTTTTTTTTTTTAGTTTCAGAAAGGCAAGACAAAGTTCATGTCAAATGTAAATAGCTACTAACATATGTGAGATAGAGATCCTATTTGAACAATGAGGAAAATCAAGATGGCTGCATAAAAGAAGGAGAGAACAAGTGGATGAACGTCAAATGGTAGGTACTGAGACATAAGATCTTAAGTTATATCCTAGACTTGCACATGACCCGAAAGAAGGACCAGCAAGAGCATAGGAAGTAGTTGGATATCCTTCGGTGTCTACTTCCTCTTTGCATAAATTACTAAACATTTAGCGAAAAACCAAACATAATATCATGCGGTGCAATTAATCGATGAAAACAAACCTTGACCACAGTTTCACTAAACCAAGAGATGAGACCGTATTTGTTCAGATAACCAGCCATTGCAATTAGTGCAGCAAACCAAGTAAGAGTGTCCCAAGCAACCGCCTCACCCAAGCATTCTTTCCATGTTACAACGCCGGTGATAAGGAGTACAGATAGTCCAAGAATTGCTGCAGTAACAGCATCAACCTTTAATGTGCTACCAAATATCCAAAGACCAACCTGAAGAAAAACATTCAGAGTTGAAATATCAATAGATGGTATCAAACAAATTCGAGCTACATGTATCTTTTTTAATTGAAACATGCATAGTGGCAAAACCAAAACACAAAAATGCATTTTTATATGCTCCTAAAAATACTTGTTAGAACTATAAGACAACATGTGTTAACAAGATATCAGATTGAATGAATCATACAAAATCTTCAAGCGCTATTAGGACGTCAATGAACTCAATGAAGTCTTGACATGAAAAAAAATGTTTTTATCAGTCCACCTTATAACAGCTTCAAGTCCACGGGAATCACCAATTAGTCAGCAATATCTGGGCCATTAAATTAATACTTCAAGACAAGAACTTATTTTTGTGCATTGACATTTAGTTTTTGAGTCAAACTAGTGATTCTATTATCTCCCCTGCTTTTCACCAACACCTTCTCCCAAAAGGTTCCAACTTGTTATCTGAGCTGGGAACGATTTCCCTTATCACAAAGCTGTAATTACACATCACCGTATATAAATTAAAACCAAGAGCTAGGAATTCTCAGTCAAATAAGCACCTATCAATCCCAGAGGCGGACCCAGAATTTTAAGCTTATGGGTTCCTACAACAATGTCAAGTTAATTTACATGATAACTGGACCAACGAACTGGGTTCCACGCCAAATATTCTTATACTTTTAATAAAAAATTTAGTACAAATACAGGATCTAAGCAAAAGTTACTGGGTTCACGGGAACCCGTAATGTTTGATCTAGATCCGCCCCTGATTAATCCCATTATTCATATCGGAACTTACAAAGTCATCTCTTTATGTCAGATAGGTCTCATGTGCTTCATTTAAATTCCTGATTTACCTCACTTCCAAATAGACTAATGAAAAAATGAAATAATAATGATAGTACTAATGAAGGTCGGCAGGGTAAAACAAGATATTAACCTCAAGGTAGAGGTCTGAAGTATACTTTCATAAGTTCACCTATATGCTCTTATGTCAATCATGGATTTCACAACTGAATAATGAAAAAGAACGCTTTCGAAAAGAAAGATAGGGAGCTTGTGATTATCCCTCAAACAAATATGAGATGTACATCAGAATGAAAACACAGTATATTAAAAGTAACTTGTAAAAAGGAACAGCATGGAAGTATCACCAGGTATGAGGCCAGTGACTTGTCTCATCTATGTATGATCAATTGCATAAAAAGTATAATACGGAAGTATCAGCTAAATATGACAAAAAAATGAAAATAACTATTTGTCTATGTTGACCACAAATGCACCGAAAAGTCAAGAGAAAATTAAGCAAAAGCTGCCAATGCTAAGCTAGTACACAAGCGTTTGAAAATGCAAAAAACCATAAGCATATATTGATCACTCAAAACTAAGTGGATCTGCATCTCTGTTTATTACGCTGGGAACAAACCAACATTTAGTGAACAATAGCTAATTGCTTGGCCATCGCCACTTCTTTTAAGGATCAGTAAAATTCAATGCAAAGTTCAGCATCCAAAAAGGGACAAAAACCAGCTTGACAAAAGTAATGAATCTAGGACACATTAACATTGCATATTAACCAGTAGGAGTGTCAAATGGGTTGGGCGGGTCAAAAAGAGATGAGTCAATAACTGAGCGGGTCATTGACCGTCCAAAAGTTACATAGGCTAAGATGGGCTACATCAAGATGGGCTAAAATTTTGGGTTATAGCCCAACCCGCCCAACTATTACCAAACTTTAATTAATATGTGATGTTTTGTTATGAATTGTATAATTACTAAATAAGACTTTTTCTTTTGTTATGGTCATGTATAACATATCAACAAATAAGAATAATTTCTAAGATATTTTGACAAAGTTACTCCTACATCAATTTGGACTAAAAACCAGCCCAACTTTAAATGGGTTGAGATGAGTTGGGTCAAGGTGGGTTGAGTTTAATAAATGGGCGGGTCAATATGCAGTCCAACATTGGCCGGGTTGGGCAGATCTCTTGGGCTTGGGCCAAATTTGACAGCCCTATTAACCAGCAATGCATTGACAAAATCACTCTATAGAGTTGTACACACATTTACGTCGAAGCATAATCCTCTTCTATGAAGTGTCAACGTGTACTAATCCCTTAAATCTAAAAGCGTAATTTACATCCTAGTCTGATCAACTCATGGTTGTTACCTTAATTCAGATATTTTCAGAAATTTACATGGAAAAAAAAAACACATTTCTGCTTTCAATCAACAACGAGTTAAAAATAATGCGACCAGCAAGCAAAACTAATTATTTCTTTTCTTACCGTAAGAAGCAGAGTTCCAGCCATAATCATCTCATTCTTAGACATTGGCCCCATTTTCTCCAACTTCTCCTTAGCCAACCTAGGTGCATCCGGACTACTCTTCACAGTGGGCGGATAAATTATATACAAAAGCAATGGAACCACAATCAAAGACACTAAACCAGGAACTATAGCTGCTTTAGCCCAATCCATCCACCCAATTGTTTGATTAATTGTACTTAGAGTCAAATTTGCACTCAAAGGATTAGCAGCCATAGCTGTCAAGAACATGGATGATGAAATAACAGATGTTTGAAAACAAGTCAACATTAACCAAGATCCTAACTTGTGTTCAGTTCCATCACCTACATTACTTCCACAAGCTACACAAAGTGATTTTACCAAAGGCAAGAAAATCCCACCAGCTCTAGCAGAAACTGAAGGAATAGCAGGAGCTAAAAGGGCTTCACTAAAAACCAAACTATAACCTAAACCCAATGAACTACTACCAAATAATGAAACAAACTGATAAGCAATTCTATTCCCTAATCCAGTCTTAATAAAACCTCTTGCAAAGAAAAATGCAAGTGCAATTAACCATGGGATTGGATCACCAAAAGCTGAAAATGCAGCTGCAAAAGTAAGTGTTTTAGTTAAAACACAAGCACCAAGTCCCATAAGTGCCACAGCACCAAGAGGTAAAGGTTGAGTTATAATCCCAACAATTGTAGCTAAAAAAATGGCTAATAATTGCCATGCATTTTTCGTAACACCAGCAGGTGCAGGAATAAGCCAGAGGATAATTCCAGTGGCTATAGATGCAATTAATGGCTTTATTGCTGCACCTTGCCATGGCTGCTGAGGTGGAACTATAGCTGAAGGAGTAGAAGAAGCTGAAGCTTTTATAATTACATTTCTGGGTTTATCAAGATTCAATCTTTTTCCAAGATTCAATCTTTTTTCAAGATTTAAGGGGTTCTTGAATGAAGAAGTCAAAAAAGATGGGGTCTTTTTTGATATTTGAGTGGATTGTAGGGATTGGGGAGAAAAAAGGTGTGATTTTTGAGATGGGGTTGGCCGGAGACGGAGGTTGACGGCGGAGGTGAGGGCCAAAGACGCCATCTTTGTGATCTGTAAGAGAGAAAATCTGGGAGAAATAAGGGAGTTGAGTTTATAGTATGGGCTAAATTTTGTGGGGATGAATCTTGACCGTAGATTAGAAATTGTACGGTAGTGATGGGGTTTGGAATATACACGGTAAATGACAGGGCCAGCTTTTGCTTTGGTCTGTTTGTGTCAGCATTGTGAACTCCGTCTCTGTGTGAAATAGGCTTCTTGCTAAGTCCGTCACTGTTTTGATGCTAAAATGCGCCGTCTTAATGCTAAAATGCGCCGTTCAAAGTTTGTAGCTAAAGTGAACTTTCCACGTGGCAGAAGATGAACGGTGAAGTGCCTGATTTAGTACTTAAGGATCGATCCACATTCTATTGTGCGACACGTGGCATAATTTAGTTGGTGGAGGTTATGCTGTGTTGACCCAACAATGGTATAGTCAAGGGATTTGGGGTGTGGGAGGAGGAGATGAAGGATAAAATTACACAAGAAGATGGAAGGGTATAACCTAACTATCAATAAAATCATGAAAGGTAATGATTTAATTTTTTTTGTTAACAAGGGAATCCGCAGTCCTAATCCTTCGACACATAAGGGTAAAACCGTACTAGATAAGCCTCCGGGTTCGACCGAAAAGGTATGCAAGTGAAATTCAAACTCTAAACCTCACATTTGGGAATTTCCCTGCTCAACCAATTCAAGCACCCTAAAAAGGGAGAAATTCAAAAATAATCAAATTTACAAGTGGTCATTCAAGTCACAATTTCAAAAGTAATTAAAATTTAGCCACATTTCATGTAAAGATAAATCTGAACGAAAATACTGTTTAAAATCCGAAAAAATACTTCAGTATAATATACTGAAATTCTATTTTATTCGCCGCCTTTTATTTACAAAATTGTGTGCTCGTTGCAAATAATGGTATACGCCAACTTTTGAAGGGGTTTTCTCAAGTAAAAAACGGAGAGTCCCACTCCCTAAAGAAGAAGAAGAAAAAAATCTTAATAAGCAAAATTATATGTTCTATGTATTGTGCCGGACTTTATCTAGTGATTATTGTTAGTGTTTTGTATTTATTCTTTGGTTCTTATGTTTGTGTGATTATTTTTATTATTTTTTGTTGATAGTACTGATATATTGTCTCTTGTCGTCTTCTTGAGCCGAGGGTCTACCGGAAATAGTTTTGCTACTCCCTTGGGGTAGGGTTTGCGTATGCTCTACCCTTTCTAAATCTCATTTATGAGATTTTACTGGATTATTGATGTTATTGTTGTTATATATGTTTATGTATTAGTAAGAGATTATAAGTCAGTGTTCGATAGAATATACCGGAGTCGAACGTTAAAAAATTTTCATATTTAAAACAAGGATGAAACTGTCAAGGAGGGAGGGATTTGATTTGCAGAAGTGATGTTTTTTGGCCACCACAGAAATGCAAAGTGGTGTGGCATGTTGGGAAAAAGACAAAGAAGAGAGTTGAGAGAAGTGTGAGGCTGTGGGTAAATCTCAAGAAGAGAGAAGTAATGTCAAAATGGAAGTGCCTCTTTTTCTGATCCAAAGGTCAGAGAATTTAGAAGGCAAATTCACCTGAACCTCACGATTTCTCTGTTATTTGTCTTTATTCAATTAATAATAGGACAACTTACATGTTCAACCCCCCTTTATCACTAGGGCCAGTGGGCTACTTACATAATTACATTACGAGCCCGTTTGGACATAAGATTATTGTTTTTTTGGGAAAAATTTTTGTACTTTTTTTCGAAATCAGTGTTTGATCATAAATTTTTTAATTTTCACTTAAAGATGAATTTTAAAATTTTTCAAAAATTTAAAAAACTCCAAAAAGCTATTTTTCAAAATTTTCGCTCAGATCACTCACAAAACTTCAAAAACAACCCAAAATTATATTCATGTTCAAACACAACCCTAATTTTCACTCCATTTTTATTTGAATTTTTTTTTCACTTTTTTTTTGGAATTTTACAATTCTTATGTCCAAACGCCCACTACATTCCAGCTTCCTCCCTCCCTCATGCAATTATTTTTTAAAAATAATTGTAGTATTGGATCATATGTATCTCGATTAATTTTACAGAATACTTGTTACTTAAAAAAAAACTGTAGTATTAGACCAGTTTATATGCATCTCGACTAATTTTACGTGATAGATGCTATCTTCTACCAATATAAGTATCGAATAAACTCTACCAATAAACACTTGAATATGTGGAAAAATCACATACTATTTTTGTTCCCGTTGAAATTAAAACATAAGATTTCATGATTCTCAATTCCCTCCATTGATCGCTTGGCCTCATGTTGTTGGGTGCTGCCTCCTTCATGCAAACTTTTTGGCATTTATCTATTATTTTTGTTTAACCAGAAAATAGGTAATTCGGGTCAAAGCGTATTTTTTAGAAGAACTTGGGTTACTGATAATCAAATTGGAAATAAATAAGAAGAATTGAGATGATTGATAGCTGAGTAAAAAGAAAGCAAAGTAAATCAGTGTATTCCAATAATATTGTGTGTCTTTACAAGTGTTATATCTCTCCTTTTATAGCTATCTCTCAATAATACGTTTTCCTTTCCTCTCATAGTAGAGCCATTATAAGCAATTAATGCCATTTAATATAACCTTATAATTGGTAATCATAACCGTTTCGTGAAGATTCTATAACGTTTTTCATCATTGATGTTCATTAATTGCGGATAATACGTATTTGTACTTTTTGCTATCAAGGTTCATTCCTCTGAAGTCTTTTCATATGATCAAGAGGCTCGAGTAACTGTTCTTCCCATGTTTTTCTTGAATCTCTGCCCGTGCCTGTCAAAGCTCGTGCCTCTTCAGCTATCCTGTCACGACCTAAAATCCACTAAGGGTCGTGATGGCGCCGGACACCACCGTCAGGCAAGCCAACCAAATTACTTAATTAAATTCTCATTTTAATACTCTTGAAATCCATGATTTTCCTCCAAATTTACAAATAAAAAAATAATCGCTTCAATTCAAATTAGATGATAAGCAATTAAAAACAAAATACTTTATAACTATCCCAGAACCCGGTGTCACAAGTTCATGAGCATTTTCTAAGAATTTGAATAAAGTACAACAGTTGTCCGGAACACAAATGGACAGAAAGTAAATATAATTCTGAGAGAGACTATACTAGCTGCGGGTCGCCTCGAGAAAATACAGCTCACCTAGTCTCCGGGTCGCCCATGCTGCTACGCCCAATGGGCCAATAGAAATACATGTACTTGTGCAACAAAATGCACATCAAGTGTAGCATGAGTACGAAAACAACGTGTACTCAGTAAGTATCCCGCCTAATCTCAAAGAAGCAGAGACGAGATGGCAATTTAGACACTTACTAATGGTCAAATAATAATATTATTAAAGCGATACTCACGAATTTATAAAGGACAGCAGTAGATTCAAATGAATTACTAAACAGGTAAAAGTTCCTTTTTATTAAAAGTCTCCGGATTCATAATTCATTAATTAACAATTATCTCAAGTCGGAGAGAGCAGATATTAGTGTCAACAAATATCAAGGCAACCAATACAAGCATGCGCAACTCATGCCGAGGTCGTACGGTCCGATCCAATAATATTTAAACTGTGCACTGCCAGAGGGTCGAATGGCGCGAACCATAGATGCATCTATTTAATCTACTGAGGCGTTCGGCCCGTTCCACAATAGATAAACACAGTCAGCCAATCAAATCAATAATTCATCAAGGAGAAAATATTCAGGAAAAGGCAAGTTTCTCCTTTAAAAGTCAAGAAATGATATCTAGCCCTTTTTAGAAATTTATTTACACGTTTGATACGTTTTAAGCATTTTAAGTTTGTCAACAAGGTTGCAAGTGTTACAAGAAAGCATGCTTTTGGGCCCTAATATGCACTTCCAACACCAAGAATGAGCCCGAACCCTCAAATTGGAGCCGGACGATTCAAAACTAGATAAACGAGGTAGGAACTAGTCAATATAAGCTTACAAGATCATATTCTAACTATTTAAGCAATTTTCCACCATTAAACACAATTTTCCTAAGACCCGACCCCGGGCCCACGTGCTCGGATTCCTAAATTTTTCAAGAAAAGTTGTTCTTCATAACCCAAGGATCAATAATATATGATTTCTAATTCATTTCATCACAAATTTCGTGGTCAAATTCAACTCTTGTCAAAACCCTAGGTTTTTGCTCTAACCTCATGATTTCTCCTTAATACTAGTGTTTAATCTACCTAAGACATAAGTATTAAACTAGAAATAGGTAGAACAAACTTACCTCAAGATGCTAGGTGAAGGTCTTCTCCCAAAAGCCCTAAAATCGCCCAATGGAGGAATGAAAAATGGCAAAAAAATTGACTTAGAACCCGTAATAAATGAGATCACTGCCTCAGCGATTTCCGCATCTGCGGTCGTTGGCCAAAAGGGTTGGGGCCGCTTCTGCGGTTTGAGAGCCGCTTCTGCGGTTTGGCCTGGCCTTCCTTGGGCCGCATCTGCGGTCTCGCACCTGCGGTCCATCAACCGCAGGTGCGGTTATGACAGAAGCAGCAGCTTCAGCACTTCTCAAAATTCCATTTGCGATCCATTAACCACCCGGAATCCACCCGAGGCCCCCGGGACCCCAACCAATCATACCAACCAGTCCCAAAATACATTACGGACTTGCTCGAGGCCTCAAATCATATCAAGCAACGCTAAAACCACGAATCGACCTCCAATCGAAGCTTTATGAACTTTAGAATTTCAAACTTCTACTTCCGATGTTTAAGCCTATCAAATCACGTCTGATTGACTTCAAATTTTGCACACAAGTCATATTCGACATTATGGACCTACTCCAACTTTCGAAATCGGATTCCGACCCCGATATCAAAAAGTCCACTTCCGGTCAAACTTCTCAAAAACCTTCAAATTTCTATCTTTAGCCAAATGGCTCCAAAATGCTCCACGGACATCCGAATTCACTTCCGATCGCGCTCCCAACTCCAGAATCACCATACGGGGCTACTCCCAAACTTGGAATCCCAAATGGACATCGATAACACTGAAATGCACTTCAACCCAAACTTATGAAATTTTTTCTAAAATGCTAACTTCCACAATATGCACCAAAATGCT